AAAGCATATAGGAATACAAATAAAGTGAGTAAGATTGAAGAGAAGATTTTGTGGATTAATACAAGTACGACAGCAGGAGAATTTATTTCTATTCCTAACAAAGATAACAACATATAGATATAAAAACTAGCAGATAATAGAACTCAATAGCGCAGTCACAAACGTACAGTTCTGTAATCTGTAGTATGATTTTTTTGATACTTCAACAGTAACATTCCATGTTCTACATTCCATTGAGATATATGAAAAAATTGCATATCTCGATTTAGACGTAAAAGATATTTCGCTTTAGATATGGGATTCCGCTGCTCAAGTTGAACATTCTACATCATAGATAGTTTGTAACACACACTTATCTGACACAACAGAACGTAAAATCCGCTTAAGACCGGTTTGTATTCTTTTTAATTGCTCATAGATTATGGGAAATTATATTTTGCCAAGTTTCAGTCGCATCATAATCATACAGGCGCTTCATCAAATGTTTTGTTAGGCGATTGTCTTCTTCCAGCATGACCTTTTGATCCTGTTATCGAGATGGATATCGGTGTTACATTATCATAATTACCACGATTTACATTTCGATTTGTTGCACCTGATAATAATGCATTACCAAAACCTGGTTTTGGATATTGTGTTTCAGACGTGGGGCCAGGTTCACTTCCTCTATTAGATGAATCTACTCCTGGTACAGGTATACGCTCCTCTTTCGGTAAACGATCTTTTTCTGTTTCTTCATCTGTTTCACAGTAAACCGAGAGTGACCATAAGTAAGTACCAACTCTTACAGCCTAAATGATAGAAAATCTATGAAATACATTTTTTACATAAAAAAACAATGATTTACAGTGAAAATTGCAATGCTAAATCCGATGAGAGCACCACCAATCACATCTGTTGGATGATGTTTGTTATCTGTTACTCTTGATAGACATGTAAAAAATGCAACAGCAATACATAAACATTGTAAAAATGGTTTTAAAAATTGTATATCAGGACAAACGAGTCGTGCTTCAAAATAGACCTAAAAACATAAATATATAGTCGTTTCTATTTGTAGATATCAATGAAAGCAAGCTTACGAATAGAAAAATAAAGGCAAATGTAGAAAAACTAGAGTGTCCACTCGGAAATGATAAACGAGCTTCTTGAAGTATAGATAATGACACATTTGGATTACAATTATGATCCCAAACGTATCTAAGAAGACAGTCAAAATATGTATAATATGAGTAAGAAAGTTTGTTTCACATACTGAGGAATTGTCATCATGCCACTGGCCGTCATTACATTTTTCGAGCAGATAATTTGAGACCATGTTGGATTGCATACCGTAAGATAATATGGTCTTAAACGTCCAATTGTACCTAGAACGAAGGTTGATGTTTACTAACTATCATCAACAGGTATTGTGGTTGATAGTTCAGCTTACGTTTTCCAACTTCTGTGATAAGAAAACAAACTGCTATCCCTAGACCAAATAAAAAGACGGTGTGAAATATTGCTTTTGCATAATCGAGTTGACGTTGTTTCAAACTAGAACCACCATGTCCTCTACGACAATGAAACGGGCGAACTACCCATATTTCAACAATAAAAAACTAAACAAATTAAAGAATAGATATGCTCATCGTATTACTGTCTCAAATATCTATTTCTTACGTACAATAATCACAGGACAGATGCCACCATAAATGCCTAATAACCACATTGGGATAGTATCTTCTCTGAACGGATACATGATCGTTTTATCATCGCAGTAGAATCCTCGTTGAACTGGCTTGACAAGTAGATAAATTATACAAAATATGAGAGCGGCTAAAATAAAAAATGTATTTGAATGTTAATTATAAAATAATCGTTTTTCTCATTTGGCAATAAACTACTAGAGAATGTAACGGTACCAAAAAACTTACTAGCCACTATAGCCATAAAATCCAATAAATTATTTAGCAATCTTCGTCTTGTTCGGCGTCCATGTTCTGGTGGTTTTTCATTGTCTCCCATTTTGTCTTTATCCATCAATAATTCAACTTCACTGGCAACCGTGCTGTTAGTAGACTCTAAAATTAGAAAGGAAAATAAAGAATCAATGCAAAAAATTTTCTTTTTTTTTATGCTGTATCCAAGAAATCACCGAGTAAAACGAAGAACAACTAGATCCATCACGTTTCAAACGTTATGAGTCTAGTCATATAATGATGCTGAAAAATTTGCATTAACTAGTAAACAAAATGAAGAATATCATTTATTAATAGAAGGTAAAGGAGACAACACCGTCTTTTTTGCCTGTTAGTTGAAGAAAAAAGTATTACCAAGTCAAAAAACTAAAACAAAAGAATCACAAATAAAGTTTTGTTATAGAGTCTTGTGTTTTTTTTCATAAGATACTTACTTTAACCAAAAAAGAACATGATGGTAATAGCAATGGAAGAAAGAACATTTATTCCATCGTTCAGACGTGTCTTTACGATTACATATATCCCTTTTTTTCCTGTAAGTTCACAAAAAATTTCATCGACTTTTATTTTTTTTGTTTGTTCTTTACCAAGAATGTTTCACAAATGAATATGTAACTTGGCAAGCAATAGCTGTAGAGTTATATAAGCAGACATTTTAATGGAGATATATCGACAGAGAGAACGCAAGAGTCTAATGATGTAGGTTGAAAAATTGCAGTTCTGTTTGGTAGTACAGAAATATATGTATACACAGTATCTGTTACTGTATCGCTCGCTAAACATATAGGATGAAAAACTCTAGACGGCCATGAAGATAAAAAGAACGAAATGGCAAGAAAAACATTTAGCTTTAGTAAGAATTTGTTTTGCACGTAAGTATATTCAGTATTCAAATAAATCTAAGAACAACGCAAATACTTAGCTATTATGAATGTGTACTCAAATAAAAAATAACCAAAAAGAATCTGTCGGAACGAACACATTATCAGATCAGTAAAGTAGATGCTTATAAAAACTAGAACCTATGTTTTTAGATGTCTGTTTTCAGAAACATTTTTCTACACCTTTACAATAGTCAAAGTTCGTTGTACTCCCGCTTCATTATCTACTATTAGTACTTCTAGATTACTTAAAAATATGCTTAACCATGTTCGGTAAGTAGTACAAAGCGTCCATTATAAATATTTCAACTTACAGTACAGCATTTTTTTGCAATATAGCAAAAGGTGTATTTACTTTTAAAACAGACGTCGTTGTTTTTCTTCTCTTCACTATTTTAATTCTTGTTACAATGACTACCCACTGTATCACTTATATAATCAAGTATGCATGATTATTTGATTACCTATTTTTTCAATCTATCATCTTCTATTACACATTATTATTATCTATACACAGCGGTACTGTTATATGTATCATTAAAGGTTAATTAAAACTAATGCATCGGTTATGACGTAGAAAGAAAGAATAACATCATTCTCATACTGTGAAATCGTGAAATTTATTAGGTAAGAAAAGTTGTTGTGAAACTGGTTAGCATCGTTCTTCGATAATCCAATTAACTATTGTGTGAGAATTCCAATAGACTAGCTGAAATGTTTTATTGTCGGATTATGTCTCGATAAGATAAGTCTTGCTTAAGTGCATGTAACGGTTTTTTTGGTTACTCATTATACCCGATCAACAAATGTTTCTGATTATCATCATCTATTCACATCGTTTTTCGCATTTAACAAAACTTTTTTTCTCTTATAACTGTGTACAAATATATTCAATAGATATCAATCATCTGGATCATACATCTTTATTCTATTGCGATTAATAATGTCTTTGCAAGGCATATGAGTTTCTCTTAAAATATAGTATTGCTTTACCTCGAAAACTAATCTTGAGGAAATCTTCCATTGATTAATAATTTATCTCAAAAAATCCCATGAAAGAATTAGATTTTAATTAGTGTGTAGTGAAGAAGAAAGCATGAAATTATAATTAATTAATTGAATCATTTTGTTAGCAAGTGAAAAAACCAATTTAGCTTGTGATTTGAGCATAGCGAGCCGTCCATTATCTTTACCCTGTATTCTATGGCTATGGTGCTCACCAACTTTCTTCCCCTTAGTTCTAGAGGATATTGATTGTTGTTGTTGTTGTTGATGATGATCATCGAATCGTATTTGTTGATGATCGGTATCAATCGGTATGTAACGATTATGTGGTGACGATTCATCCGTATGGTTATTGAATGAATTTGGAAAATGATTAGCAAAATGTGGCGATGGTGACCTATAATTAGTCGGTGATCTTCTTTGTTTAGGATCGATAAAATCCGATGATGAAGTGGATCGTGGCTCCAACTGGTATCTACCATTGAACTTTGAAGATGTTAACGGTTCATACGTGTCGTACAACGGATTAGACTCAGAACGTGAATCAACTATATTTCTACCAGAAAATTTTTTTTTATTGTCGTCACGATATTCTTCAAGTTCGTAGCTTTGTGAACTTAGAGGATTTGAAACTGAAATAATAATAATTAATAAATACTATCACCATGAAACAAACGTTCAGAAACTGTGGTACTATAATCGCTATGGTTTTGTAAAAGATTTCAAAAATTATTTTAGTCTCTTTACTGGCACAATCCTATAGTATAGTGTAGAGACTTTTTCTTTTACAAGACCAATACGAGATTCTTACAAGTCTTAAAAGAATATTTACATTTTTTCTTGATACGAAGGTTAAACGAGCAAAAAAAAAGCATAAATATACAAATCTGCACTGTTTTATCGGATCAAGATTAGGAGCTGCAGTTTTAGGGTTTTCAGTTGAAAATTTTCTATATATACTATACTTTTACTTACATTTCATCAGTAACAATACCCAAATAGATAAAGCAGAACAACTGAATTAAAAAGAAAGACAAATATTCAGTCGATAAAAAAATTCACAACTGATGCAAAAATGCTCTTCAGTTTTAGATGATGAATCTTTAACGACGATTATTATTGCATGTAAATGACAGCCAAAAAAAATAATAAAACAAATGTAATCTTTGCTTTCTTCTACTAGAGTAGAATAATCTCGATTTTAATAATTTAGAATATAGTACATCAATTTGAAAACCAACAAAAATCTTAAGATGAATTATAAAATATATTTAATTCCAAAATGAGTATTGAATGTGGTGTTTGAGTAATAGACATAAGATAAAATAATATGTTTGAAATTGACTATGACAGAGTATAGGAATAAAGAAGAAGACGGGAGAAGATAATAGACAATACTGGTGAATACATATTAAATTCAATCAGTATTATCTTATCAATATACAAACAGATCCAATGAAAGGTCATAAGATAATAATTTGCATAAATTCGAATAGAATAAGGAAACAATTTTTCTTTAGAATATAATTCTCTATCTAAGTAACAGCTGTAAAACTTTTCCTTCTACCATTTAAAAAGGCATAGTTTTGCTATATCAATACGATTTAACTTGTACATATAAACTTAATACTTTTCATGAGTATATGAGATGAAACAGTGGCTTAAAAAGTACTAATTACTAGTATAGAATTTAATACTTTTATCTTCATTAAAATTAAATACGATATTATACAATTCACTGAACAATCAAGTCTATTTAAAGATAAAAAATATTCGAAAAAATGATCAATCAAATAAATTATTTGTTCTTATTACAAACTTTTTAGTTTTTTTGGAATAATAATTTTTTAAGATTAATATCAGATAAACACTTTTTATCAAAATGACAAATTTATCTTGGTCTAACTAGACAATATTTATTTTTCATGCTTATTTTTCTAACGCATAGAACAAATTTTTCTTACCTCTTGGTGTTTCATAATATTGTGCAATAGTATATACAACCGGCTGCATTATATTCGAACATAGACGTTCACTCTAATCACTCATTACTGTTTATCGTGTATACGTCTTTTCGGCTATCTTATTCTGATACTTATTGTAGGGTATTGAGTGTAGATCTATCGTTCTATTGGAGCACATATTTTTCAATTTTTTTTTCTGTTTTTTTCATAAATACTAATAATATTGCATAAAACATGTAGATAGATTATTTTATACTTGATGTTATAAAACACGAAATAACTAAGAAATATAACGCGAAAAAAAAGAATTTTCGAAAGAATAAAAAATACGCCGACGTGAATATATGAGTTATTCTTGTTTATCATTCCAAAAAAAAAAAAATAAAAAATGACATCTTGGTGGCTATTAATGTCATAATGACTATATGAAAAGAACTAAAAAGAAATTTATACACAATCAGAATAAAAACAACGAAAAATATAGTCTGGTAGCAAACTTCACTTCCATAACAGGTGGAAAAGAGAGAACAGTTCCGAAGACTAACGGTATCATTAGGATCGTAGACAGAATTTTTCAAGAAGGCTCATGAGAGAAAAAAAATGCTTTCTTTTTTTTTGTTTGACTTTTCTCTGACCTACGGGTCTTGCGTACATCTACACACATAAAACAAGACCATAACAGTAGTTACATTGATTCTCATCCTACACTTTTAACTGGAAATATTTTATATTTATAGAAAATTGATGTAGGAAATGCTCGAGCATTTTAAAATGATTATAATATACTGCATGATTTTATAACAAATTAGAAAATTAACAAATTTTAAAATCAACACCGACTTATTAGAAAACCGTAATTTTAGAAAACATCGATCTTGATTTTCCATAAAATTTAATCGATTTTTTGCTTTTCATTTACTCTTTTTGTTTTGCTATTACATCAGTATATAAAGATCACACAATATTTTGTTGAAAGTTGACCTGTTCAGACATGCCAATTTTTCCAAGTGACTTTGTTGAAATGTGAATTTTGATGACTCACTTCTCTCTCTCGTCAGGAAGAACAGTTTATGTGACAATGATTGCAAATTAAAATAATTTTCTACAAAGTAGAAAATGCTTAAAAAATATTTTCCGAGTGAAATCGTAGGCGATTTTCTAGGAATCAATCTATCCTCCTCGAAAAAAGTAGTTGCAGTCGTTGTTTTTTAATATATCATCAATATAAAAATACATTTTAGAAAAATAATTATATATTCTGATAGCACTTGAAATTCTCTATCGCCCTATACTTTGCCACCCTTGACTTGCTATTATTTGATCACACATATTTCGAATATTGTTAATGTACCGTAACTCTCACACTTCAATGGATAGTATTTTATATTTCATCAGGTAAGTCTGGTACGTTTATTTGTAATCATACTGTTTTACTCAAGCCCACACTCTCAGCAACATTAACGAGGAAAGATCTTGAGATGTACAAAATAGATGTTTCAGTTTGTTTTCATTCGCATGTATA